TGGGCCCCGGTCCCACCGCCCGCGTCCTCCGCGTCTTGCTCCGTGTCTCCCTGGTCTGATGGGGGGGCCCCCCCTCAGCAGACTAGGGAGACGCGGAGCAGCTTTTCTCGCCATGGAGGACGTGGGCGGCAGGACCGCAGTGCATCTGGGCGGTCCTGCCGCCCGCATCCTCCGGGGCGAGAAAAGCCCCGTTCGTAAGTGCGGATCCGACATAAGTCGGATCCGCGTAACCCGGGGACTGCCTGTATGTAGGTTCTTGTTGCTACTAGACCACAGACCCTGGGATGTGCGATGTCGTAGGTGGGCGCCCCATCCTGTACGAGACATCTGTTGTCATGGAGACAGATGGTTCTGGTGAGTGGAAGGGGACTCTGGAACAAAGGTTCTGTGGACTTCACAACCAGTGTAGGATTATCATTGGGAGAGCTAAGGATTTGGATAGTGGGTGGATATGGGGTCTGTAAATCTGTCCCAGCCAGCCCTGTAAGCATCTCCAGTGAAGGCAAGCATTGTTGACAATGAAATTACACACTACCATGTGCCCCAACAGCTGAAGGCATTCATGTGCTGTTGTGCGAGGAGCTGGATTGCAAGGTGTTTACTGAGGCCACAATTTTTTGGAAACAGTCCATAGGGAGGGACGCAGTGGCCTTTGAGTCGAGGCATGCTCCTATAAATTGTATCTTTTGTGTAGGAGACAGTGTCGATTTGGCTTCATTCACTTGCAGGCTGAGGTGTCAGAATAGGTGTCTTGTGATTGACAGGGAACGGCAGAAATCATTGAGAGTGTGCCTTGAGGATGCAGTCGTCAAGGAAATATGATATGGTTTTCTCAAATATGCTGTGACAACCGCCAGAACCTTTGAAAAGACTCGGGGATGTAGAGAGTCTTAACAGAAGCACCTTGTATTAGTAATGTTGAGAATCTACAACAAAATGAAGAAAAAACATCTGCGAGCAGGGTGGATGGAAATGTGCAAGTATGCATCTTACAAGCTGAGGGACGAGAACCAGTCGTCCTGTTCCAATGCTGGTAATAATAGTGGCAAGCGTTACCGTTTTGAATTTTTGTTTCTGAACAAATTTGTTGAGGGCCCTGAGGTCTAAAATGGGTCTCCTACCTCCCAATCTTTTTTCCATCAGGAAGTAATGGGAGTAGAACCTTTGCCCCCAAATTGTGTAGGGATTTGTTCAATTGCACGTATGTGTAAGAAGTGCTCTACCTCTTGTTGAAGTAGAATCTCATGAGTATGGTACCTGAAGAGGTACCAGAAAGGGGTGGTTGCAATGGGGTAGAGACACGAAGGGAATAAGATTGCTTTTCTCAATCATCTGGAGGACCCATCTGTCTGAGGTTATACGTTGGCAGTTGTTAAAGAAGCGTAGCAGTAGATGATGGAACAGGTTTGCTTGCGACGATGGCATTGAAATAGTTGAAAGGCTCTCATGACCCTCGACCTGATATTGAAATTTGCTTATTGGACTGCTGTGACTGTTGGTAGAGGAAGGGTGTCGACATTGGATTCTGCCTCTATTGGTGTTGGTCTTGTCTACTATAATGTTGAGCATATGGAGGGTATCGAGGTTTCAGGTAGGGTTAATACCTATATTGTCTTCTTCTAGGTGCCTGGTTGTGGATTCCCAAGGACCGAAGTGTTACTCCAGAATCTTTTATGGAATGGAGAATTTTGTTGGTGTTCACTGCAAACAACTTCTGGCCATTGAAAGGAAGATCTTCCACTGTAGATTCAATCTCTTTGGGTAATGGAGTGGAGTTAAACATGACTCCCTTCTCATGACTACTGCTGTTGCTGTGGATCATTCAGCTGTGTCAGCAGCGTCTAATGCAGCTTGCACTGCTGTTCTGACAATCGTGTGACCCTCCAATACCAGTGCTTTGTACTGTTGTCTTTTAGCCTTGGGAATATCTGCAATAAAGTCATTAGGTTTTGTTTAATTTCTGTGGTCATATTTGCTTAAAAAGCCACATAGCTAGAAATGTGAAATTGTAAAGTGGAAGACGTGCATATTTTGATTCCAAATGAGTATAGTCGTTTGCTATCACGGTCCGATGGGGTGAAGTGAAATTGTTGCTGCTTGGATTTCTGTTGTGCAGCCTTCACCACGAGGGAGTTAGGTACTGGGTGAGTAAAGAGAAATTCAGATCCCTTGGGTGGAACATAATACATTTATCTGTTCTCTTAGTGGTAGAAGAGATTGATGCTGGAGTTTGCCACACTGTCTTTGCCAGATCCATTATTGTTGGATTGATCAGCAGTGCTATTTTAGATGGTGTTACCGAGTGCAATATGTCAGTTTCCTGCTGGGTGCTACTGTAACTGATGAGGCAGGCAACTTGAAGCCTGACGCCTCAGAGCGTGGTTTAGTGCATGTCTGTTTCTTAGCTGCGCTTGCAGCCCCTGGGACGCCTGCAGCATCATATGTGCTGAGACACGGTGCTGCCGCTGTTCTCAGCACCAGCCGTGAGGGAGACGGCTGTTTTGGTGCTGTAGCCTTCTGAGGTAAAGAGGAGGCTCGCTTTTTGGCAGGCTTTCTGGTTCCACGCGGTTTACATTCCTTGGGGGCTGTTGGCCCGGCTCAGAAGCTGGTCAGAGAATTCTCAAGTAAAAATAGCTTGAGATGGTCTCTGTCTTTCTGCACCTGCGATTTCAACTTTGCACAAGGACGTTTTTGAGAGATACGCTGGTCTCCGAGGCAGCAGACACATTGTGAATGCCCATCTGATATGGTGATAGGCTCTTTACATGAGGAGCAGCATTTAAAACCTGATGAGCCAGGCATGACGCTGAAACAAGTCAGTAATTGCAGAAAGGGGTTAACTGGGAGAAAAACTTACACTATTATTTTTTAAAGCTAACTAACAACAATAATTAACTGGGGAGAGATAAACTTGGTTTTGAATAGAGATAAGTATGTAGACGCGAAGCAGGTAGGGAGCACTGCTACTGTCCACCTGTAGCTGGAGGCGATAGAGAAGGAACTGAGGAGTGGGCCCAGGGACACTGCTCTGAAATCTTCGACCTAATGTGGTGCACCCACAAGGACATCTCTCAAACAACAACCCCTCTTTGCTTCCTGAGACCTCCCCCTCCTCTTCCTTTCTTAGAACTGCAGACACAATCATCCTCCTCCGAAATATGCTTGTGACCAGTTTGTATTGTATCAGATCTGGTCTAATCTTAAAATCTTAATCAGAATATAGCTACATGAATCCCTCAGAGCAACATAACTATGCCAACTTAAGCCCTGATATAGACAAAGCTAGGTTGATGGGAAAATGTTTTTGTTGACCTAGTTACCACCACTCAGGGAGGTAGATTTCCTACAATGACAGAATCATCCCTTATAAAGCAACTCCAATTAAAAAAAACCCACCTCAAACCTTCAGGACACCATGCAACCCACCAATTCCTAGATCTCTGCTCTATTTTCCTTATGCATCTTCCCTCCCAACATTCCCATCTGAAATGCTGTTTTACTACCTGTCAATGTATTCTGTGTCTGGTAATCCCTTCCTTTCATTCAAACACCTCCTTAAAATCTGTCTTCTTTTGTCACAATACAGTCCTGATTAACACCATCAAAGTTCAAAGAATGAGTTCTAAAGTTTCAATAGTCAAAAATAAATGCATTTTAATGTACGATATTTATCTAGGCAAATTTATTTTATCTTTAAGCTTCTATGAAGTTACAGAATGCATGTCAGATCGAAATATGCTCACTGTCACTCCAATCACCCCCAAATGGAAAAAAACACTAAGTATTTCCAAACTATATACTTCAGTAAAGCCAGTTTGAAAAGAAAATAATTACAAATTCTTTAATACCAAACCATTTAACATTTTACAAAGTACTTCGATGTATCCTCATTTTCTCTGCTTAGAGTGATTTTTTTCACACTAGGTGAAAGATACAAATAACTGGAATAATGTTAAAACCCTGCTAAGATAATACCATGCTTACTACAATTTGACTAACTCTACTTTATTTTAACAGGAATTTCAGTGCTTGGTTTTTACAAAATATATTGGTTTGGTACGTGGAACGTATTCTGATTGTAAAAAAAGGTCTCACTTGCTTTTTAAGTAGTTTGCTCCTTTACCTAGTATTCATTTTTAAGCATTTAACTGTATTTCTGTATACTTCAGTTATGTACAAAGAATACAGTCTCAAAATGTTAAGATCTTCCTCTTCCTTTCCTTCTGAGACTATTACATTTTAAATTTAAGTAGAATAAATTTTAAAATAACTACTAACCTGACTGAAAGGTCTCACTCGTACAGCCACTTTCACGCTGTCAATGCTTGGCATGCTTTTATTACTTTCACTCTTCCCTGGATATTCCAAAGCCCTAAAACACTGAAAGTAAAAACAATTCCTTCTCTAGAGTATCCTGTTTTGAGAAATCAAAAACACAGCCATAGAAGCTGTTTCTTTTTTATAAGGTCAGTCTATTAATTATTAATATTTCTCATTGTGAACAAGGTATCAGTTACCCGATAAATTATTTCTTAATGTAACTGCAGTAGCATTCACTGACTGAAAAGGTTAATTTCAGGGTTCACTCTTCTGAAGCCTTCAAAACTGAACCTGAATATTAATCAACATCTCAGAAACACTGCCTAAATGGTTCAAAGAATTATGACTGCTATATTAAAATGCCAGACTAGCACTTCCCATGTTCGTTTTCAAATGGAATGTTTACCTTATTGTTCATGCTATTTTAGTCTTTAAAGGGGCACTTTCACCATCACTTGAGATAATCTGTGAAATAACTACAAAATCTGGTTTGTTAATTACAATCTTTGCATACTTTTTGCATTGTTCTCAGCTTAGACAATAAAAATCACTGAAGTGTGTTTCCTTCACTGGTTTTCAGTGCTACAATGTGCTGGATTTTGAACACTGTAAAAGCATGTAGATTTACAGAAAAATGTTCATTATTTTAAATTGTGATAGCATTTCTATTACTCTAAAAGTGCATTTTTTCAAATTTGGTCCAAATTTATAGAGGCAGTATTTCTTTAAATGTATATCCTACAGTACATCATTGACAATTTCCAAAGCATCTATGTAGCTAGGTTTCTGCTGATAGAAAATTGGAAAAAAAAATAGTGAAACATCTGAGGTGTGATCTAGTTTTATAAACTTAAGAGCAGCTTTCCCAAAGTTCAAGACAAATACAAAAAAATATTGCACAGCTTCAGTACAATTGTTTACATTCTGACTTCAATACAGTACATTTTAACCATGAATGTAAAGAATTAGCAGCTTGTGTTCTACAATCCCAATTACTGGTTCAAAGATTTAAACATTTTCTATAAAATTTAAAACAAATGTCAGGTTTTAAAATCTGTAACATTATAATAAGAATAAATGAAATTTTAAAAAGAGTTTTGGCCTAATTTTGGAGGGTTAGTAATTATGGCAAGACATTACGGTATCCTCAAGCAATTTGGTCCGCTCAAACCATTATTCCCTCTCAAAAAGCTAGCAGACAATAAGCATATTGAGAAGTATACATTTTTATTTAACATTCCTAAAATAAGCTGTATTTACATATATAAATGTATGAAGTCTTAATATAAAATAGAAAAACTGCATTGACTGAAGAAATCACACTCCATATGGAGTTACTTATTGAAGACTATTTGTTTATGAAATTTTACAATAATTTATATAAATTATCTTCCAAATTAGATGATTTGTTTTAATAATCCACACAATTTTGATGTCTTTACAAACAGTGGTGTACATTACAAATTAAAAGAAAAAGTTATAGCATCTTCCGGCGCACTACTGGCTTTGGAAAATTAGACAGTCTCTTTTTGTTCTTTCGAAGAGTCTTTTCTGCTGTTTCTGCAGTTTCTTTCTTTTTGCTTTTTGTCCCATCAACGGGACTTCCAAAAGGAGAAAGGAATTTAATTTCCACTGGTGGAGGTGACCAAGAACATTCTTTCCCCATTGCTCTGCAAGAAAAGTAGCAAGTCTCAATTAGATTACATCATGCTCTAAAAACGCAAAGAATATGGATGTTTTGGTAGACAGAAACAAAGCGAAAAAGCTAAATTAAAACAAAATTCTAGTCTTCTCCACACTAAAGAAATTCTATAATCAAGCAGGATCTTACACGGGAATAATTTACACAGGTTGAACATCTCTAGTCCGGGACACACTGGTCCGACAAAATCCGTGGTCCAGAAGGAGCCTGGATATTGCTGGACTAGAGATCCCCTACAGCAGAGGTCCCCAGTGGGCGAGGAGCTGTGATTCTACTCCAGGGGGTACCTAAGCCAGATTTCTCCTACGGGTACTGCTAAGGAAAAATCTTTCAGCACAGGTGCATGTGGCGAGCACACATACCTACGTTGAATGGACATGAACAATCACTTGAAGAGCCATGGTATTCCTTTAAAAATGCTAAACCATAATTAAACTTTTCCTTCTTCAGTTTCAAATTTACAAGGGGCTCTTTTACTTTATCTATATAGTCTTCTATTTTACTGAAATTAAACAAAAAAAGACCCCCATGCATAATGTCCTCATTTATTGAATACAGAATGCCAAACTAGTCCTAAATACAAGTCTTGAAACATTCAGGGGAGAGAGGAGCAATTTTGACTCCTACTTATGAAAAAAAAAAAAAATCCAGAAAACTCTCCAATGGAAATGCAGATTGACTATATTTGAGACTTGAAAATAATTTAAACCAAGAGGCATAGTAATTTTCCTCAACCATTTAAAAAGAAATCACAAAGGTTC